TACTTTGCAGGCTTATCTGTTCATTCTCTTCAAAATGGTATCGTAGCTTCTTTTTCCTTCTCCTATCTATTGTGTCATATTCCTGAGGATACCTAGGGACGTCTACAGACCCTGACTCCACACACACATTTTGGCAGCACCTTGATCTTTCACAGTGGTTGAAATTCTCTCTTTTTGAGACAGTTGGCATCTTTCTTATGTTTGTTTCCTGCCAACTTCTATTTTTATGACTCTTTTCTAAGAATTCCTCTATTAGCAGTTTTCCTAGTTCTTCATAGTTACTCTCCTGTTCTTCTTCTCCATCTTCACAGTTAAATGGAATGATCCTGACTCTTTCATTTCTACCTAGAGATTCTTGTCTAAGATGAGAAATAAAGAGGATGGGAGGGAAAGGAAGACAGGAAGAAAAAGAAAGAAAAGGAAAAAAAAAGGAAAGGGAAAATAACAGTTTTTAAAAAAAAGATCCAGAAAGGACCAAAAAAAAAAAAAGTAATGAGAAACCATGCATTAAATAAACTAAAATCAGAAACATCCAGAGATTATAAAACTTAAAATCTGCCTATCTACCACCACTACATTTCAATCAAATAGTCAAAAAAAAAGCAGCATGGGTTATGATATTCCACCAGTTAGAGCTGCACAGAATTTAGAAATGCCTGTTTGAAGCAGAACAGCTTTTTGTGATCAAGTGAGGGCACACAGCCTTGGCTGTACAAGTACTCTGCTGTTGCTTTTTTAGGCATGCTGAAAAAAGTCACTTAGTACAGTAATGGGACTACTTTGAGATACAGAGCCCACGCACACCATTCCACTATGCTGTGCATGCACTTTGGTCACTCTAGGCTGCAGAATTTGTTTTATCAGTATTCAGAAAGCACACAGGCACTTCGTTTCTCCCAAGGGTGGCTACAGAGCAGAGACTCAGGAGCCACTGGACTCCAGGGAAGTGGGGATGGGGGACAAAATGCAAACTGTGCACAGCAGCAACATTAAGAGTTCCAGCTACTCCACACTTCAAGTGTTCAAAAAACCTGTGGATGAGGCCCTAGTGACATGGTTTAGTGGTGGACTTTGCAGGCCTAGGATAAAGGTTGGATCTTAAATGTCTTTTCCAACCTGGCTGATTCTATGATTCTCTGCTGGGAGGGCTCTTACCGTAGCTAATGCCCTCAGGGGGCTCCTACCAACACAAAGCAAAGATCCTCAGAGCTGTTACTGATCAGAAGGCAGAACAAAACATTGGCTATGGATATTAGCCCATCATAAGCCTCAGATTCTTTTCAGGATCTGTACTTCCCACATATAACACATCTAAGTACATTCAGCAACCTGTACTTGTCCACTGTGGGAGAATTAATTAAAGCAGCTAGTGTTTTGCTATCAAATGATCTGAAGCTTCATAGAAACCCAAGTAAATGACCCTGGGGATTTTGGGATTAGTTTCCAGACACTGATCAGAAGGATTATCTCAATTGCTCAACCACATGAAGGCTAGTAGCCAGAAAGCTTCCTCTCTAGATAAGTCTCGCAAGAGCCAGCTGCGTAAAAATAAACAGGTAGGAAGTGGATGTAAAAAATCCAAGTGCTCATCTGAAAGATGAACTGCAGCTTTGTCTCACATCATTCATTACTGGGTACTAAGAAGCATGAGGGCACACATGTCCTTACCCCATGAGAGTGGGGCAAGAGAAGGGAAAGGGCAAAAGGCTGTAGGCATTGTATGGATACTGCTAACTCAAGAGTCAATACCTTGAGAGGTACCTGGGGAACACCAAAATAGGATACATGGGATAGGATAGCCCTGAAGAAGAAACAGCTCACTACATTTTCAGTACTGCTGCTTTAGTACTTCATTTCCACCAGTATTAGCTAATTTACGCTAATTGGAAAGATACTCATTACTTTAAATGAAGCCTGTTGTACACAGTTTAGAATGCTTACTACACCTCTTGCTTGCAATTTAGGCTGGTAATTGAAATAATTTTCTTGAAAAAGCTAATGAAATTTAAAAAACTCCCAGGGCCACTATAGCCACTGGATCGAGCCCTTCCAAATCTCTGCTGCAAGCAAGGGGAGCTACATGAATGCCTGAAGAGCCATTAACTGTAAATGCTGAATCAACAATTGACTAATTTAGGCATAAAGGAAATTACTTTTCTTCCTAATTGAGCACCTCCCCCCCGTGTTTACCCTGCTATTTACTAGAAATAAAGTGATGACAAGAAGTCCAACACCAGAGAGGAGAAAAAGATGACAACATCAGCCTGGCATTAAACTACCACAGATCTGAAACAGAGCCAAGGCAAACAGCGAATTGAGTATCAGCTGAAACATATCACAAGACCACTTCACAGCAGCAACAGCAAAGAGACAGGCACACAGGCTGCAAAGAGGTTAACCCACCTATCAGACCGATCTAGAGAGCGCCTGCTTTCTATCGAGCACTGGCGGCTTGTCATTTGACTAGACTCAGATGTGGACTCTAGGTCAGTTCGGCCACTCACAGTGGAATCTATGCTATCATATCGCCTTGGAAGTAAATAGAGCAAGAGCAGGGAGACATGGAGGACACATGGTTACACAAAATGAACACTGTAAAGAAAAGTTAGTGCTTAAAAACAAAAAATCCAAGGGGAAGATGTCTGCTTTTCTGAAGCCAAACTGGTCGCTGGCAGCAAAACACACTCCAGGGATAAATAAGAATAATGGTTGCTATCCTTAGGAGAGGGGTGAATAAAATATATGTATTTCTATCGAAAGAACACAATCATATGTAACAGCTAATAAGGATCAGAACTTTTCCAGCCAAACTCAAATGTTTTAACCAAAAAAACCCCACGTTGAGTACACCCAGTTTCAATTGAAGCATTCTGGCATAAGTCGACTTTTTGTCCAATTCAAGACAGGTTCTAGCAGACCCTTGTCTGTTTCCTCTAGGTCTGCCCAGGACAGCCTCCTACAAGCTGTCATTTCCTCAGCAATTACTAACTGCAGCCTGCCAGGAACACTGATTTCATCAAGTCCTGCCTAGTCCACAGCACTTAGAGCTGGTAGGAGCGAAAGGCAAACACAATTTGGTTGTGCAATACTTGGTGTTTTGAAAATATTTAAGATCCTCCCACATGCTTCTTTTCAGCCAGCTCTCATTAGAAATACATTTCTGATAAGAAAGAGAATCCCACGTAGCTTCTCTGGAAGGCTTATTAGCATTTTCTAAGTTTTAAGATTAAATATGTGGCAGAAAATCTTGCTGGGCATGTGGAAAATGCATATAGGAACAGGAATGCTCAGAGAATCACCATCTAGGACTTGTCTTCATGGAGCGAAAGTAATTTTAGACCAGAGCAGACTACAAAGCTCATAGTTTTTAAGTAAACTTTATCAGTCCAGATCTTTTCATACCAATACTTCCAGGAAATCAGAAAAAAAAAAAATAAACAACAAACCCAAACATATTCCATCTTTGTATTCTCTAACAATTCAAACCATAAGTGCTCTTTGGAAGGTCCTACGAACATATTTATCCATTAGATTGAGTTAAAAGTTCACACTCCCTCTGCCTCCAAGCAAGGTGAGCCATGAAGGATTACTGGTATTGTCAACACCACCCCAAGAAGTCACATAACTGCCAAAACACCCAACCACCATTGGCTTCCCCAGGCTGGGGACCTAATACTGTTCTTCAGCTTGGCTATTCCATGAAGAAAAAGCTCCAGCTCAACTTCCTAGGCTCTCAGTAAGGTCTCCAGCAATTTTACCACTGCATACCAGCAGAACAGAATAGCATGGGAAAGGGAATAATGTGCCTGTATAAGATATTTAATGGACTAGGAAAAGAACACTAAGAATGACATGTCACACTGCAGTAAATGCATTTTGTTGGCACATTTGCCTCTGCTACTTGAAATCTGAAATCTCAGTAACAGTAACAACATTAAGCGTTACCATTGAACTTCAGCTTTTACCATTAAAGACCATGAGGCAAAAAGAATAAAACTTAGCCTCAGTCATACACCATGGGGACAACTGAATGAAGGTTCAAGCTTCAGGAAACGGAATCATTCTTACCAAGTGGAATACAGTAGAACAAATCAGTCATGATACGTATAAACTCCTGCACCTCTAAACTATGACAGTGTTTAAGCAACTGCCCCTTTCTTCCACACCAAAGGCAGAAGCAGCAGCATGGCCTGTTCTACACACCCATTACTACCAAGCCAACCAGGACTGTTTAAGGTCTTCTGCTTTCCCCTTACACTTAACTAATCCTGTATTTGGAACAACAGTTTTGTAGAGTTTCTACAGTTCCCAGCACAATCAGCTCTAGTTCACAGACACTGATCTTGGTAAATTAGTGCTGTAATGCTTAATACTTAAAGAGGATACAAGCAGTTGTAAAACTACCAATATATGGTCAAAACGCTAATTTAAAGCAAGTAAACTGTCTTTCATACAGCTCAAAGGAAACCAAAAGAGAAAAAACACTATTCTATAGTGCTAGATGATAACAGGAAATAATAAAAAAATAAAATAATTAGTTACAGGCTTTCTTCTTGAATATGCTGCTTTGGCAGAGCTAATAGAAGAATAGGAGCCAATCCAGAACAGAAGATAAATCTGCCCCAAGAAAGAAACTCCTAATAGGATAACTCTGCTAGACTGTGTTTCACTGGCTTCGCAGGCACCATGCAGCAGTACCAGAACAACCAATTACCCAGTGCTCCAGTCTTCCGAAAGTGAGGTGGAGGTATGACCAAGACAAAATGAGCTCAGAGTTCAGCATGTCTTTAAAAGGGAAATCACTAAACTTCCAGATCTGGAGTAACACATCGCATGATGGGTTTTTCCTGGTTCACAGAGGAGCCCCAGTGCTAACAAAACACGTAACACCATCCTCTCAGAGCCCTTGAGCTGCTCTCCTCTGCTAGCATTGCACTTTCAGGCTCTGCCGTGGTAAAAATCAATGGGAAAAGAATAGCTACCCAGAAGACGGCACCTACCTGATGGCCACGTGCTCCTGATAATCCAGATCATAGTTCTGTAAGGAGTTAGCACAGGTTTCCCTCAAGACCCCTTGTTGCTGCAGGCGTGACGGCACAGTGAACTGGTGCACGGAGGCATTGGGCTGCACAGTTGTGTGGTACGGCGGAGGAATGCTGTTACTTGTCTCGCTGCGGTAGTCACTATCTCGATCATCCACAGCGCTGTCAGCATCTTCAAAGGCTAAGAAACAAAAGCAGGTAAGGGCATGGCTCCCTCAAGTTGCCTTGCCTGGGACACTGAAGGCCACTTAGTTTTTAGTGAGCTCTTTTCAGTTTAAAGAATGACAAAACCCGCTACTTCTGCTATGGATGTGTCTCCATCTGGTAGCTGGTTATAACTTCCAGTTCTCCCGAGTATGTGCCAAGGAATTCCAGTGACTGCCTTCCCACTTCCTATCATAGGAGTTTATCTCTCTTTAGTCATTCCTAATAAGCTGATTAAGACATTTTTATTTAAACCAAACACCCCAACACCCAAAATTTTAGGTTCTTTGCTGCTGCCAAAATGAACATTTCGATGATGAGGGGAAAAAAAATCAACCCACAATATTCCTTTATGGAAAGGAGCATTTTCCTAGAACTTTTCAACCTTTAAGCTCTAATAGTATTTCTCCTTAACATCCTTATCCAGCACTCTGGGCTTCAGGATTTATTTCTTTTTGTTTAGTGCCTCCTTTTTTTCAATTTTTTTGTTTTGTTTAACTATTAATTTAAGTTAAGAGAAACTAATGAAAAGCACTCAGTAGGAAAATCAGAACTGGGAAAGTAGGTCTGCTTGTAACCGATTATGCTACTTCTTATACAGGAAAATTTCTGTACTTAACACACACAGAGATACATTAGCTTAAGTTTAGGAGTCAAAGACTAATGACAACCTTCACAAAGATAAAATGCTCCTTTTCACTGAGTCCCCCTCCCTGCAGAAACACTTCTGCTTGCTAATCCTTCAGAAAAAGAGAATGCAGAGTTACAGTGAGGAAAGGTACCAAAAATACAATATTGGTGTTTGGCTGTGTTTGGCTGTGCAGGATGCAAGATTATCTTTGCAAGCTTATAGTGAAATATGTACACCATAAGGCAGCAGAGTGCACCATTAACATGCTTGAAACAAAGGGAAATAAGGATCAGCCTTATTCATTCTCTCTGCCACCAAATGCCTGTGTAATAAGGACAATCAAATTAAAGCCCCCTCTGGTAAGTTATTCAGTGGTGTGTGTCCTACACAGCAATTCACCACAGGCTGCACAATAAAGTGAAAGTGCTGTTTTCATGCCAGATCCTTAAAGAAACCTGAATTTAACTGCAGAAATTCCAAGCAGATGGAATGCAGTGCCAGGAAACACCTCTCTCTCCCACTGGCACTTCCTAAACCTCCAATTCAATTTTGATTTTTTTAATCCAAGGTAAAATTTGCTCTTAGCATTCTCTTCAGTTCCTTCCCAACTAAGATTCTATCACTGCCCTGAAGCGAATGGAAAAGTAGAAAACAAGTCCAGCAGAGAACGTCTGCAAAACACAAACCACTTGAAAAAGCCTGGCTCTACCCCCTTACGCACAATCAATTCAATTTGATTGTCCATACTGAAAATGGAGTTAAGCCTCCTGCTTTTTAGTAGTTTAAATGCTGCAGAGTTTTTGTCAGTCTCTAGTCAATTGAATATAAATGAATAGCAATCATGTACTACTTTATTCAGCTGTATTAAAAGCACAATGTCCATCAATTTAAACACATTTCAGCACATAGAAGAAACACTCAAGATGTGCTACACAAAAATGATTTGATGTGCCAAAGGACAACCAAATTTCCAGCCTGTGGACCCAGGACCAATCTATTTGTAGATCACAAGGCACAAGCCATCCTCAGAAGGACAATGAGCTATTACTCACCTGAGCAATGTCATTGTGGAACACTTGAGTCATTACTGTCCAAGCCACATTAATTGCTTTTATTTGGGCAGAAATACTTTTTTCAAAGAGTCTTCTAATACCTCACTTTGGTGCTCATCTGATTTCTTCTTCCCATCAGATATAACTCTCATTTAAGGTAAAGCCTAAATAACTCTGGTCTGATTTAAAGTTCTTCAGCTGTGGCTGCATAGTCATTATAAGAACTTGCAGGGGCTTAAAGCAGCCCAAGTGAGTTACAGGTCCCAGATCTGGCAGAAGACACCAGACCAACACATTTAGGGAGAAATAATTTATCTCACCACAACACCGCAATAACGAATACAAATCAGAAGTACAATTATCTGGGTCAGAAAACCAGTGAATGCAGTAACTCACTAACAGTGGGCTAAACTCAATATCAGGGCATGCAAAGACTTACACAATTATGGTTATGAGGAAGCAGGAAACAGCTCCTCTAGGTCAGCAACTATGCCCAGCTAACGGGCTCAAGAGACTTCCAAATTCCCTGATCAAACTGTTGCAGAAGCACTATCTGGATTTGTTAGCCTCTGCACTATCATATGAAGATTTCCCACATGAAGAACAGAATCTCCAAGCAACATCTTAAAATAGAATCATAGAATCACAGAATAGTTAGGGTTGGAAAGAACCTTCTGATAGCAGATAAGCTTAAAGGTTAATCAAACATTTACAGCATATATGTTTATAAAAGGTGGCATTCTTTATACAGAATTTCTCCAGTTCTTATTGGTGTTTAGCATGAGGAAGTCTCTTAAAGGTCTTAACACAAAACGTCCCCCTCTGATAGCATGTTTAAAGGATGCAAGGCTCCAGCTACCACAAACGTCGATGAGGCAGGAACACACTGTTTCTCTGATGGATGCACCTACAGCATCCACAGATGTCAATACCAGGCAGAAATCCTCAACTGACTAATAAATAAATCCCAGAAACTCTTATTCGTACCAAATTGCACCTACTTTATGAGCAATCTCACTTCAACAGAAACATTAACAAATGGAGACATAGCTCAGCCTGATTAAAGGCACCAAAACCTGGCCCATATGTGGCTTACAGCACACATTACCTTTGCAAGAAAGCATACTGTGAAATTCCTGCACATGGCGATGATCCCATTCATTAACATACTTGACACTTAAATTTTATTTAAACAAGAGACTGACAAGAACTTGCAGAAGCAGCTTTGGGGATGCAGCATCCCTTCAAAAGGAGGGGTCAGGTATTATTACAGCCCATGTGCCAGCAAAATATCCCTCACAACACACATTGTGGTGTGATAAATTCAAGCACTATCTTCTTCAAACAGATGATACACCAAGTCTTCTGTAAGGAAAATTGCAGCTTAGCCTCAGCCTCTGAATATCAGTGAATTAATAACAACATACATAACAATAAACATAAAAAGACAATAATTGTTTTATCCCAGTCTGAGAAATTTCACATATACCAAAGAGCTCTCAACGGATGAAAACAGTTTCTTTGTCACTGGACCCACTGTGTAAAGAGTGGGGGGTAAGGCTGAAGGGGCAGGGCAGAAGCATGCTGTTTGTATTTAATAATTGAATATTCATGCATATAGACATCCTAAGAAGAAAACCCATCAGGCAGTCACATCACACAGTAGGATTTTACAAAAGGTGGGGATAATCAAGAAAGGAAAAAGCTACTCTGAAGCAAACTACCTCCTGGAAACCCTGTTACTCCTCCCCAGTCCTGCCTCCAGAATTTATTACACCACTGCTGCAGGGCAGGACACATACAGCTTTTAATATACTAACCTCAAAACCACTTTGCACAGTCCTGTCACACCAGCTCTACTAGTCACATTTAACCTCTGGCAACTTTCTTTACATCAAGCTTTAGGACAGGAAGGAAAGCTAACTGCAAAATTATTACAGATGGCTGGATGAATGCACTTTCAGAAGTGGTTTTGTTGTTTTAAGGTCTCAATGCACAGCAGGAGCTCTTCTCAAGGCTGCATTCAGCTAAAATTGCCTCCTGCTTTTCTAGCTGTGATGTGTCATCAGCCATGGGAGCTGGGGTCCAGTCCCTAAGCTTTATCCCCCACAAAAGCAAGCAAAACTTTGGTCAAAAGCATGAAGTGCAGCACACTCACGCATTCAGGAAGAAGGAGGTTCATGTAAGGTTCTGTATCCCAAAATCTGCACTACTTCTCTAAAATAAGCCACAGAGCTTTCACAGCTCTTGTCTATTTGTGTAATAGTAGAAGAGAAGAAAGTGTACTAACTGAAGCTATGATTTCCAGTTCAAGTCCAGAAGAGATCTCTGGCAGCTCCACACCAGGGCCTTTGCAACACACGTTCCTCACCCCTCATCTATTTAAATTGCTTTTCACAATAGCTGCCAATGACTTTTTCCTTAAGTCTCAGACCCAAAAACTCCATTGTCTACCCAATCATTGGTCACTTTTGACAGTCACGTGCGCTTTCTGAAATCTTATAATCAACATACAGAAGATTTTTAAACTAATATGCATCATCTCTCCATTAAAAAAATCCATAGAAATTATTTACATGCATCTTTGCATTTCATTAGCCCATCCTATTGCCCTCATCAGTTAAAACTACATTAGAAATTCGCTAAGTTTTAGACAGCAAGTTAGCAATATCCAGTCTTCAGTTTAAGAGCTTTCATAACCTTTTTTCCTCCACTTGAAAATACTTTCTGCTGCTGAAAGTCAACAGCTGGACTGATGGCCTGAAGTGCAAAGACTGCCTTGAACACATACCCTACTTCTTTAAGTCTTTCCCTTTCCTTAAATGAAACCACGTTTTCTTTCATCAGAAGGACAATTTAAGGAAAGCTGTCCCTTTTCTAAAGCACCCTCTGCCCAACTAAGTAAAGTTTGGCACTTCTCTTGCAAGAAGCTCTCAACAGTAAAGTCCTACCAGCTACCAGCATGCTGTTTCTGCTGCTTCCTTCTCAGCTGCTGTTTTAAGTTTACAATTACAAGTATATTTTTTATTACATCATCAAGCTAATGGAGTTCACTTGGAAACATCAACACAGGCAGAGGCCTGCCTATCAGGATGCTAACATGATTTCAAAGAGGACAGCACAAGAACGATGAAGTAGAGGTGGGGAGGGAGCTCCATGAATATAACTACCATTTAAAACAAAAACACCACACACCAACACTCCAGATAAACAAGAGAAATACCTACTGCACAGCCCTCCTAAATCTCTGACTGACCAAAGCCTAAGGAACCCAATTTCCTCTCAAACACAAAA